TACTAAAGATTTCTTAATTTCTCTCTGGACCAATTTCAAGAACTTAAAAAACATATTCTAATTTAGTATATTGCAGTTTTTTGTACGCTCATTGGTTACGAAGAAAAAATAATTTTAAATCTAATTCCTATGCAATGGAAAATATTATAAACTGCTGTATTTTGCTTGATTATGTATATTATATATGTTTAGACAAGAATCAAAATGGCGTCCCTTATATATAAATCTAAGGGCATATATTTTGATCAAATTTTAATAAGCTATTAATATTCTTCTAAAAAAACACGCCTTATTAGCAGCCTTCCTGTTACAGCAAACTGAGGTACTCGTTAAACCTAAAGTCATCTAAATTTAATTAATTTAAAATCAAATAAGGCAAATGGAAATTCGCTTAGTCTGCATGTTTGCTGTGGCAGGGAATTTACATAGAATTTCATCCAAGAGTGATGTTGTTACACAGCGCTTATCAAATCTAGATTCAGTGTTAAAACTCCATTAGTGTTACAACTGGATGCTGTAGGAAGTCTGTGAATGGACGGTCGCTCGTGTCACGGAAGTGTTCATGTTCAATGTTACTAGCCATTGTTGACACTATAGCGCTGTCAGCTGTCAGTGTGTTCAATGTCATTGTTGTGGTCACAAGATCTGTTGAACATGTTGAAACTAGCAACTGTTACACATTTTTTTGCATGAGTTGTTTATTTAAGATGTATTGATCAACCAGAAAACGTATGTATTTTCTCATTCCATGCAGAAAGTTTGTGAGAACAATGTATTAGGGGTGACTATCTAGAAGAAAATAGTTGTTTCCCAAGCTGTTTTAGAGCTAGAGAAAACGATCCGCTAATTGTCCCTTGATCTAACCTTTTCCTTGCTTTCAAACAGTTTTACATTTGTCCACTAAGCACGTTAGCGTTTATTTTTTATTATTTAAATCAGCAGATTTTACTGATCAACAACTTAACAGAAATAGGTATATACTAGTTTTGCTGCGTTTTACTTTTCAATTTTGCGTTAGGTGTGTAATGATGCATTTGCTTTTATTTTGATCAAACACAGTTAATTGAGAAATATAGCATGTTTCAATCTTATTGATATCTTTTATTTTATGTGAGTGTAATTTTGCGTCTTGTTCAAAAGTACCTAACGTTCATGTCTGGTACAAATAGTTATTTATTGGCATATGCTCCAATTATTCCCGTCCTCGGCTTTGCCTCACACTTGAAATTTGAGTATCGACTGGAAAATACCCCTTTCTGTACCTGTAATGGAGTATCATTTTTCTCTGTGTTTTAAGAATAACTTTATTCCAGTCCGTGAAGGCGAGAAAATAAAGAAAAAGTTATTGTGTTTGAATTTATATACATTGTACATAAACACAATTTTAACATAAAATGTAATATTATCGTATAAAGTACAGACGGCTTTTTATGTGAAAGAACTTATGAAAACCATATTAAAATATGCATAGGCCTAAGTATAAGTTTTTTTTAAAACTAATTCAAACATGTGCAGAAATGTTATCCATTTTGAAGGTTTGTAGTACTTTATCTATTTGTAATTACTTTGCCTTCTGTTAAATCGTTAAGTTATATATTCATGTTTATTTACTATGGCATAATATGTCCATGTCCAACTCAAATCGTCGTGTGTGCAGTGATCTTACAAATATCCCACATGTAATGAATTTTACTGGTGTTTGATAGATTGTGACTTAACTGGTTATTATGTATTACCGCATCGTGTGTGACATTTGATACAGTTTTGCGAACACAAGTCATGCATGTAATCGCGAAATTGACTGTCAAGTCATTTATAAGCCAATTGAATTGTTGGGTTTTATACTAAACAAGATCTGTACTAAATATTTCGTATGAGCCATTCTTATTCAGTTTTGATATTTCTTTGGCCACTGCTCGTTTTTTGTGGTGATTGTTATTTGTTGGTCCTTCAAATGTTGTAAATACTGAATTAAACGTTTAAAGTCATTGGTTTCTTATTATACACTGCAGCGGTTTACAAGATGTTTAATTTACTGCCATTAAATTCTTATAGCCAATTTACAAATGAATTGCGTAATTTTACTATAGTTTCAGGTTCTGATTATTATAATGTATAGGGCATGTTATTTCGTATGTTCTGATTTTGTTAGAAAAGCTTTTGAGGTGTGCAAAATTTTTCTCTCAAGCTATTTTACTTGGTAAATATTTTATCGGTGTCGTGGCAGGAATGAAACCTGAGGGAATTGAAAAGCGAAACGATGGATGCGGACAAATTAGCCGGTCATTGTTGTCCTTGGTTCAGTGGGTTCAGTCTGTTCCGTTGTTCTGCCTCTCATTATTCTCTTGTCATTCTGCAACCGACAAGCGCCGTTCACATAAGAACCTCTTCACTGTTTATATACTTTTCTTGTGGACAAACTTTGGAAATAAACCGATATAACAAATGGAAAAATATGTTTTTTACTTGTAGTTAGTAACACCACACAAATTTACATCATTTTGGTGACCTTCGCTTCGTTTCAGTTATATATTTTAATCCAAAATGTTAGAAATATTTCAAGGTATGAGTCATAAGTTGGTAACAGATAAACTGACGAACACTGATAAACTGTTGGATGACTTATACCAGATAAAAAAAATCTGTTAACAGATAATTGAGAAACGTCTATTCAATCTGTGGTCTTTGTTCTATATGTATCTCATGTTAAAAATGTTTGACCTTTTTTCATTTTTGTAACGAAGGAATTAAATAAAATGTCCTTTGGGGATGAATGAAGAAAAGTCTCGCGACTGGCAATAACCAGCTAGCTCTGTAGGGATTAAATAATAAAATTCAATAATAAGCAATGATTTAGGACAAATTCAAGATGGCGGCATCTAATCTCACTTTATATTGTATTTAACCGAGGGTAATTGTTGGTATTTAGTTTTCATCAGTAATGCACTAGGACTAGACGTTTGATATTACCCGTTGTTATGTTGGTACTTTCATTAATAGACGGGAAATAGTTTGTGACAATATTAAAGCGTTAATCAATTTATAAAATAAACCATCAAGTAACAAGTAAATGGAGAGAATGGAATATATATATAGCGAAGTCTGTACAGTCAGCGATCAATCTAGTCTAGACGAGACGAGTTGACGACGTCGCCACTACCCTGCCGTGTGGTGACTGTAATCACTTTATGTTAAGGGGTAGCGTGCTGAGAATCACCAGTGTGTACATAATCAATCCATACGCTTCGAGGCTTTCAAAATACTGTGCTAGCTATGACCTTTTTCCTAGTGTCCAATTGATGGCTCAATAAGAGATCGCATCTTGGCCCAGAATAGATAATATAATCGTAATAAGTATACGTAATAAGTATCCGTTGTCAATAAAACGAAATGACTTAGATAATATAATCGTAATAAGTATACGTAATAAGTATCCGTTGTCAATAAAACGAAATGACTTAACAGTACCCAAATGTCAACGATACAATTTAATTTTCATATATCTCACAGTTATGTAATGGGTTAAAATTGTTACACGGTCAAGTTTACAACAAAAATCAGGTGGCCAAAAATACTTTGTGGAATGGGTACACCTTTGACTATTAAATACAATGTTTTCTGTATCCATTAGGCAATGGTAACACTTTTTCGCTACTATACTGTGAAATGACCTGTTTTCGTTACATGTTTATCACCTGCGAAAATCGATCATGTATGTCTTAATATTTATGGAAACATTTTAGTAAAAATGTAGCGAGAAAAGTTGAAATTCGCTTAGTCTGCAGGTTTGGTGCGGTGGGAGTATTTGTATTATACGGTTAAGAGGGGTCAAATGAGGACAGACTTGTATCGTGTAGTGGTTGTGGTGTTCGATATAAAGTACTGACTTGCGCACACGTGTTGAGCGTGCGTGTTGACTGTTGAGTAACTTACTTCACGTCCACAACCGTACAACTGGGATAATTGTTTTGTCAAACCGTTTGTTCTTTGTCTTTCTGCAAGGATTGTATTTTTGCTGTTTATGCATTCATATATTTTTCTGATGGTTTATTGTTTGGGTCACAGCAATTTTTATTAGGCACAAGCATTGACTGACGAAGTCACCTAAAGCACAAGTAGGGCGCATTTTCACCCCTTGGTATTCAAATCTGTTTTGGAGAGATTATATTTAGACCGTGTACACAAGTTGTGAACATCAGATATCTTTGAACGAGTGACATGTTTTCCTTTACATTCAACAGACTTGCCAAAACATACTAAGATAAGAACGTGACAATGTTAAGGGCTTACAATGCGTTCGTCTATTTACACTAAAATTAACCTCACCTTGTAACTTGTTCAGATAAATACTGTTGGTCCATAGTGAGATACTATAAGACAGATATTTAGGAATGTGCGTGCACATAATATATACAAACAAGGACACCATGTAAAACAGTGGGCCTTTATCATAAATATGCCATTATATGCTACGTTCAATGTAAGAACCACTTCAAGTTTGATTGCAAGTGAAAACCTAAACACTACACAATGCTTACATCATTACCATTAATGCTGGCATTAAAATAATAGATGTCCGCGTGACATTTATTTGCCAGGAATTTGGTTTGCCTTAAACTTTTCATAGATTGTGTTTTTGACGGTTATGTGTATAAGTTTTGCCTGCATATATGAAAAAGGCCAAATTGAAATGTAAACAAATTATTGCTGTTTTGAAAAGGCTATATTGAGGTTTCATCTGGCTAGGCCTACTTTACTTTATTTACTTTTCATCTGACTTTTTTTACTGACGGGGTTTCCCCTATATAGGCAAGCACACAGCTAGTTTTTTAAAATGTTTACTTTGCGTGGGGGAATAATTTGTTAATACAAAGGTCGGCCGTTATATATACTGCTAGAAATACTGCAGCCTTTAATTGCTGGTGCTTATTTTATTTTTTATTTCTCCCATTATGGGTTCCTAATGTTAGGTTTTGGTAGACTACAAAAAAAACACAAAATTAAACTCAGTCTTGTATTTCATTACATGAATACGTTTTTGTGCAATCATGAATAAAGTGCTTTTCCTACTAACTCTTCAAAAGTAAGACGTATTTTTCGTGACGTACTTTCATCCTTGGATGTGAAGAAATCAATCATAATATTTATTTTTATAGCGCAATGCAAAAAATCTTCAAATGATATGTAGCCGGCTCTTGTTGCGTATTTTCGTATTAAACTACTAAAAATGTTGGGTCCAAAACTAAAATTGAGTGCTTTCAAAGCATTTTGTAGGCCTGCCGAATTCAAACACCCTGTATCCTTATCACTGTACAGTTCGTAGATTGATTCCCACGTTTTAATCATTTTCCACAAGGCTTGGAATTCGTTATAACTCAGCTTCCCTGAATGGTCTGTATCCAGTAGGGCCACCATACTTCTACATAGATCATATGAGTAACCACCCGTCGTCTTTCCTAGAACACTACCTTTAATGGTTGGTTCAAAAACTTTGTTGTATATAAATGTCGCTGCGTCAAAAAGAAAATGCCCCCAACCGTCACTATCCTCGGCTGGCAAAACTCTTTTCTTCAAACCAAAATCTAAAATTTTCTTCAAATCTTTCCAATCAACTTCCTTGTCAGGGCCAGACACCTTGTGGAAAAAATCCGTAATTGATTGGTCCATTTGGAACTCTTTAATAGTTTCTGTTGTTCGTGACACCGGTGCATCACTGTCCTGCACATCTTCCGGCGAAAGACCTACTTTAATAGTAGAATCTGAGTCCTTAATGTGTGTTTTATTTTCAGTGTAAATTCTCAATAGGAAATCTCCACTTTCTCCTTCTTCCGTAAAAATAATTACGCAATAGGCTCCTGGCTTAAACTCATACCTACCTACTATTTCAATGTTATAGTTGTGTGGGTCGTAGGAGCAAACTGGTTGGTTGTTTTTTAAAAAATCTTGGTCCAAAGCGGGTTGATTCAAGTCAGAAATACGGTAAACCTTAAACCCTTGTGTTAAAAAATCAGTTTGTGGAGTTAATTTTCGTAGCAACGCAATCAGCACGGAGCAATCACCGTCGTTGTCGACGTCCGCTTCGCTCAGCTTAAACCTTATTTGAGGATTCTTATGCAGCGATTCTACTCCTCCAGCCGTCACACCTTTTATCCAACTGCCCTTCACCATATCCAAGTGCCACAGTCCGACTTCTGTGTTCCGTCCGTACGCGTTTAAATATACGTTTGGACTCAAATAGCAAATACCTACATAACTGAAATATGACAAAAAGTCTGAATATTCCATCACAAATTCTCCATCATTTCGGTCAACCACTGCTAATTCTTCTTTGAGAGATTCAGGGACTAGTTCCCACTCCCGTGATCCGTCGCTCCATGCGCCCTTCCACTCAGTATGTCCCCAAGGATTTCTGAGGCGAATCAAAATAACTTCTCCACGCCCAGGAACACTTACGCTTCTTATGCCAGTCATCGAGTATCCGTGTGGTGAGTCCAGACCTTGAGGAGTTGGATCTTTTTTGAAAATAGTGGGGATTGCACAACCTATAAGTGATCTTCTTGCAAATGCCTTGAGCAAAATCTTTTTTGTTTTGGAAACATTATCATCAAGCATAATTCGCTCAACTACGCCACCCGTAAAATGCTGCATAGCTGTGTACTCTCTACCCCCTTCGTCTACGTATTTGCCATACAGAAGTTTACAGTAAGCCTTTTCTAACAGAGTCGGCCAGAAAACATTGTTTGGTGCTTTAGTTGAGACCAATTTACCTTTAAGAGTCGGGAGGCGATCATCGATGACTACATCGTACCATCTTCCGAATTTCCAGAACCGAAAATGAAATATCCCAGCGTATTTGTCATAAAAGCTCTGATCAGGAGGTACCACTTGCTTCACAAGTTCTGAATGAACCCCCAAGCAAGTCATGGCCGTTTGAAAATGGCAGTTCCCAAATCCTCCTTGGAATACATCGTGTTGCGTCGGTTCTCCTACGAACAGTTGAGGTTCTTCCGTTAACGCCCATGGTCGATGCCACTCGTATTTCTCGTCCAATTTGAAATGAGGATCGCTAAATATATAACCTCGTCGCAACAACCAATCTCTTATATATTCAAAATCCTGGTTGTGTAATTTGTAAACTGGCTGTTCCATTTCTTGATTTTCCTGGCTATTTGAACAACTGAAAATGTAAAATTCACTACTTCGAATTTTCTGTTTTGTAATAATGTTTTATGTAAGTTAAGATGTTTACAATTAAAAGTTTAAAGTCAGCTGTGTGCTACAAATTAGTATTTATTCTATTCGTGTATGGTTTTATTAACTTTAGAAAGGAAAAGTTTTAAAAATCTAACTACTTTTTGGTTTAGGTTACTTGAACAACGGTCGTATTACTGTATAGAAAAACCAATATAATTATCTAAAATTTTATTTTATGCTAATCTTAAAATAAATAAACCTAACACGTGGTTTTGCTTAATATAAAATTTTATTTGTTTAAGCCAGTTGTGTGGCATTATAAAATGAAATTAGTTTGACAGTTCTGCTATTTTAACATTGAGATGTTTAATGTAAACATTGTAAACAGACTAACCAACACAAGTAGACTTCTCATCCCAAAATAAATGTTGAAGCTTCTTTTTTCGTGAGTTCATGTCCGGTGACACTGGCGTTAGTGTAGACGAAATCTCGTTTCAAATATTTTAGGTCAATTATTTTAGGGTTAATTTTATGATTTGTGCTTTATTGTTTAGTTATACAGTATAACTAGGGTACGAGTTGTTGTTCATTAGTACCTATGGTAGTTTTATTTGGTTAAACGAGGTTTTAAATTACTAAAAATAACAAGAAACAAATTGTACACAAAACATGACCTCTAGTGCACCGGACAGAACTAACAATAAAATTGGCTTCAGCTGTTCCATATGGGAGTAATGTTTTATTTGTGGTTTAGGTTACCTGTTACCCCAACAGATCTCGACAGAAGGATTGTGTAGCGAGGAAGATCCCTCCAGAACACTAGACTTATCAAGGGCGGTAATGGTCGATAAGTGAAAGATTGAAGTTTCTAACACTCGTTTATTCAACGTTCTATATCCCTTAACTTAGGGTTTATATTTACGAATCTATATACAATCTTGATCCTGTGTCCGCAGTCTCCTACCAGGTAGTGTCTCCTGGTATTCAGGGTTGGCCCGGGTTGGATCAGTCCTACCGTACGTCCTTACTGTTCTGTTCTTCGTGACGTCTTAATCCAGAGAGCTGAAACCCTACTGGACTGAGGCTGTTTTAGGACTTCGTCCTCTTCAGCCAGGGAAAGGATAGCAGCAGTAGCAGAGACGTGTAAATTACGAGAGAGTGTGTTACGAAGCTCAATTCTGCCACTGCTACCGGTTGTGGTTGGGTTGAGTGGTTTTTGTTTTATCGAGGATGGTTGTACGGTTGGATTGTGGTTTTCGGGCAGGGTGTTTTGGTTTTGGTTCGATTGGGTGTTACAAGTTTATTTATTATCATGAGTTGTGGGGGTTCACTGAAATTGGTATTAATACAATACCATATAGCAAAATCATGAACAGGGTAACTGGCCTCATTTGGGGCAATTGTACTGTCTCCGCTTGATACATTTAACCTCTAAATTACCATGAGGGTTAAATTCACTTCTTTACAGGGTGTATTGCTAACTGAGTTATAATTAATAGCGTCTTGGACATTCGATGCGAGAATGATGAGATGCTTCCCCGATTTGTCCACTTGTGAAGTTATACTGGTCTCCCTCAACACATAGGTTGTTTCACAAAAATACCTCTGTCGTTGACCAAACGAACACCGCAATTGTAACGTTATAGAGAGGGATATTGGTCTATGTAAGTTAATGGTTTACTTTTGAATCGATTTTATCTAAGGGCAAAAGGTCTGCAGTCTTTATCAAAAAATCGCAGGTTTCATTACACAAACTCAAAAATCAAAGTATGATAATTTCTGTAATGTAGTTCTAGCTGTGTTGAATGAATGAAATGAATGAATGAATGAATGAAATATACGTTTATTTCCACATAATGTATACAGAAAGAAACAAACTTTTTAATACAAAATATAATCACAATTACGAAATATAAACTAAGGCTAAGAATAAAAAAGAACATTTCTGTATTAATTAATTTGACGATTTTATGAAATTCAGCAGACATAGGCAGGTGCTGCCTGTGCGTCTGCTGGGTTGCTATTTAATAATTATCAGTAGGTTACCACGTGTTGTACAGATTGTTCGTTTGTGACAGGCAGTGACTAGGGTAGAAAGAAGCAGGTGCATTAACAGTGATTGCGAGGGGTGGTTTTTGCCCTATTTACCCCCCCCCCTCTCACCCCCTCCACCATCACCGTCACGTGGTTTGCGATAATTGAGCCAAGCAGTTTTTGCAACCTGCTGTTCGTTGGTTTTGCCTTGCTGTTTAACTCTGCACCCGTTATAACTAAACATGCTAGATTATTGATTTTAAGTTACATTAATTAAACAATTGTTTTTAGTCGCAATCCTATGCCTTATTCACCTAGGTTTTGAGTACAAGGTTGAAATGCTAGATATATTAAAGCTTTTGTGTTTGATGCAATCAGTAATAATGTTTTCTCTGTTTTCAGGTAAGGAAACTGCCAATAAAGGAGATGTAGTACACGAATTACCGTAATTGGTATGACAATTTAAGAACGTAAGTGTTTTACAAAATTTTGTGATTTCGCCGAAATATGTTTTTATGCAATTCTAATATTGTAAAGTTGGAATTCATATTTTATAGCACGCTGAAATTTGAACAGTTTAAATTTCAGTTAAAGGAAATAAACGCTTTTATTGTTACATTAGACTAAAGAAATGCCTGAAGAATTGCTATCTGAAGAAAGGCCTCACAATTCCTCAATCTCCAATTTGTTTGAAAGCACACAAAATACTTCAAATACCATTTACAATAATGTATTTACACTTATACTGTTTACTCACAAGACGGTAAATACATATAAAAAATGGTAAGTGGTGATCGATTTCGATTGGACACCCTAATCATCATCAGGCCCAATAGGCGAATCAGTTGTTCACTGGCTGTTTTTTATACCCTAACTAAAACCAAATCTTGCAATCGTAGAGAGAAATACTTAACTTGTCATTTCGTACTATGTAGTCCGAAATAAAAGAAGCGATAATATTTTCACTCTTTCAAATATGTACAGTAGTCTAATTAAGATCTAACTACAGATTGATCTTGGAGTTATAAAGACCATATAGATATATGGGGGAAATCAGTGGTGATAAGCTATGAGTAAAACTGCATTAAAAGCTTTAGGAGTTTAAGGAGAAGTTTTGTTGGTAATTTTTTCAAATGTCCCTTAAAGTCGGGCTGGAAATTAGTGACGATAAAGATATTTTATTTACTAAAACCACCTCTGTGGATCGGTATGTTGATTACCTAATTATAGGTAATTAGGTAAACGTAAGCACGTTATTTGCCTTATATGGCTGTGTGCACCACATTCTATAGCGCGAACAGCAAACATATACCAACTTTGCAATATACCACTTTCGCGTTCATAATAAATTGATGAATATAAATTAGCTGTTTTCTCATAGTAGGTAAAGTATTATAATTTGACTTTGCCAACTACTCCTGATGATTCAGTGGCCATAGGAAGGGACTGGTTACTGCTATTGTCCTCATACGAGACCGGACCCTTTCATTGTAAGGCCTGATTCAATTTCCCTTCGTACTGATTTCGATTGTTGGGAAATTTCCTATACACGAGGGGATGGATGCTTTTGCTGTAGTCAGCGGGGTCTAGAATTTGCATAACTTCATTTTTCAATTTTTAGGATTCTAATTAAATTGAGATTATTTATGACAATATTTTTTACCGTGCAAATTATAACTCTCTCTGAAATTTATAGCCGACACATTAATTTTAATTCAATATCGATGTAAGATATTTTGGAAGGCAATAGTGATTAAGTAGTATATTATTGTTCGCTCTAAAAGTGTCTTGTGACCTACAGTTGCATCATTAGTGGACACAAGATACTGATTGGCGTTTCTTTTTTTCCTATTAATTTTTTTAAATCTTGTTTTGTGTGAACAAAAAGGGTATGGTGATAACGTACATTTAATGTAACTAACCAGAAGTTTAAGCAGTAAATTATTCATATCACAGTTATAATCCCTGCTGGGGGTTTGTAGCATTAATTTGCACATTTCATGTTTGTAATACAAAATCCAATCAGTTCCTATTTATACAGCGATCAGTATTGGTCGGATCTCATTTGACAAATCCGATGTCGGATTAGTGAAATCCTTCGCAGCGCAGTCGTAATTGATTTCTATCCGCAAACATATTAAATCGTTTGAATACTTGTATTTTAGGTCATAATACTGCAAGTTTCTTTACAATCGTAAATTTATTCAAAAGCTTCTTTGACTATATAAATAGATTTGTTTTAAGTATCAACACGATTTAAAAAGTTTAAATTAGTACTTGTTACGTTGGCATTTATTGTCAATTTTATCAGCAGAAACTTTGATTTAGTTACTGTACGTTCTCGTACGTTTTATAGTTTTGCTACAAGTGTTTAAACCCTTGTAGTTGACTAGAACAAACCCCCTTATTGTTGTATTCAATTATTTATTCTGCGATGTGCAAATCCATTTAATGAAAAAAATCGTTATGATACAACCAACCTAATTTGGTTTTCAGACGGAATTACTTGTGAATAACACATGCAAAGTTAACGATGTTGTGTTTACAATAGCAAAATATGCAATTCGCGAGGGAACGCGCCCACTCCTAATTTTGTGCTTTGGGTAAACGCGAAAATCTCTGTGCTTATTGGCTATAGTTAATATTTCACTTATGACCTCTCTTGTCCGAGGCAAGAAGATTCAATTATCGGGATAATTCAAGATAAGAAATCGTCTGAGATACAAAATTGAGTCGTTATTTGCTTCCTGTCTCCTTGTGCAGCATGATAATGATGCTTCATCACTTGACGGTTATTAATGACGGGCTGATCATTTATAACACCTTGTTGACTTATTACGCGGCATCTCTTGTTCCCAATTTGGAAAAATTGTTATTTTTTATCATGTAATGAAATTGACTTAATTGGAGTATCAACAAGGGGTTGTGATAAAAAAGTTGATTTTAAGTACATTTAATTGGGATGTTTTATTGAT